GTCAAGGTCTACCATAAAATCTGATGGTAAAACGATCTTGGGTTCTTTTTGTTGTTGGATCTCATTATTCCGGCGGGTTCCACATCAACTCTACACTGGTGTTTCACTCAAAATACATGGCTTTTTTTAACCCTCTAATGTTCTCACTACTGTTGCCTTTTTTCACTCAATAATTCTCTTTTAGTTCTTTTGAAACTAAACAAACAATTCTCAAAATTTCCAGCAACAATTCACCAAGAACTCATCAAGGAATTTTAGGTTTGAAGAGCAAGAATTCAAGGACATGGCTGATTAGATTTTCAGAAGCACAAAATAGCAAGATTTCCAAAAACTTCTGATTTTGGGGAAAGGTGGTTTTCAGGCTTATTGGACCCAAGATGGATGAACTCAAACAATATGATTTTTCTCTTTTTTGTAACCCCAGAACAATGAAGCCCTAGAATCAATTATGCAAGCAATAAAAAGATAGGATATGACCTGATTGAAAATCTTGCTTTGATACCAAATGATGTGAACCCCAATAGTCTTGCTTTGAGACCCAACAACAATATTGGAAATACAACCCAAGAAAGCCAAATTTAGGTTTATGGATGGAGAATCTAAACCTGTTGCGAACTCATTTCAAGAACCTAGATTATATTAAAATCTAGACCCATTGAAGAACCCTTCTCAAGAACCCAGATTACAAGGAGGAATGCCACAATGGTTGTGATTTACCTTTGATAAGTTCAAAAATTCAATCAAGAACAAGAGGAGTAAACTCAACTCAACTCACAAGCAAAATTCATTATATATTGTCTCTCCTATTTCATTGATAGAACACCTATTTATAGGCTGTCCATTACAAGGATTAGGAAACTTCCTAAAATGGCTATCCTATTTTAGAAATATCTCTTGTTGGTAAAGAAATATCTCCTACTTTCCTAAAAATCTTGAAGAAAAAGAAAGACATTCAGCCTTTTAATTGGCTGATCACATGCCTAAATAGAATAAGGAAAGTTCTTGGCATACAAGCCTTACAATTATACCCTAAAAAGAGTGAATAGTGCACGGTTACTATAGCATGAATAGTGCGCCGCTACAGTAACTACAAAAGCCCTAGTTCATTAGAAATAAAACATGTGTGGGCTAAGCATCCTCAAACCCACTTATTCTAAACTAATAATAAAAATTCTTTAAACAAATTGAAAGCCTTAACAACAAAAACCCCTATTTCTAAGTCATGTCTTCCATACCTTGGATCAAATGGATCAAAATTGGTGCTCCTTCTTTCAAGCCTATCTTGAGTGTTGGGCTCTTGCTAGCTTCATCCCACCAATCCTTGCACTGCTTCCTTGATCTTCTTGGCTCTTGATCTTGTAATTGGCCCATCTAGACATGCCAAGGATCTTTAAGAGTAGGCCCACCTTGGCTCTCATCACCTTGGGTGAGATATTATGAGCTTACAATCTCCAAAAATGCAAAATTCCATAATAAACAGAAGTTGAGTGTTGCCCCTACCCTTCAAAGGTCCTCCTACACCTCTCTTTCCATAATTGCCAATATACAATCAAGGAGATACCTCTCATCAACAAGTGAAAAAGCGATGGACGCTTGAAATTTCTAAGTAGTCTAAGAAACCTTGTTATTGGCCATTCTCCTTGTATGATTTGAAATGCCAGTAAGGTAGAAAGTTTGCTCCGAATGTTTATTGCATATTCACAATTAATGAACATATGACAATTGTTTCTTCATCCTTACAACATAAGACACACCTACTAACTATAGAAACTCCCATATTTCGAAAAGTAGAAACCATTGGCAAAGCATTTTTCAAAATTTTCCAGCCAACCAAATGTGCACTAGGAGGAGAACCTTGCTTCCAGATTAATGCTGCCTGACCATTCCTCTGTCCTTGTCTTCTAATAACTTTCCAAGCAGTTTTATGTAGGCTTCCATACCAATTTATCTTGCCTATCCAAAATAAAGACATTAGAAGATAAAACTTCTTGAATAAGTTCCTCATCCATCTCCTGTTGGACATCACTCAGGTCCCATTGGTCCTGGATCAAAACTTGGGACAATTTGGGATAACTTGAAGGGATAGTAGAATTTTGTAAAATTAAAGGTCCCCTCCCTGTCCAGTTGTCACACCAAAAGTCAATAGAGCTACCATTACCCACCATCCTCTGTGAGTGTTCCATTACTAATTCAAACCATGGCTGTAATTTTCTGAGACTGCTAAAATGGCTTAGAATTAAATTCCTTAGTATGTGTTGCTTATGCCAGAATTTGGCTGAAAACAACGATGACCATAAGGACGTATTCTATACCAACCCCTAGATCTGCTTCATTCTGAAGGCTTGCTATGAATCCTCAAATTTTATGATACCTAAACCACCCTCCTGCTTTGGCAAGGTAATCATTGCCCAAGAACACCAATGCCTCTTCTTCACCTCAGGCTTCGCAGACCATAGAAATACAACCATAATCAAGTTGAGCTTCGCTATAATTCCCTTAGGGAGGTTTAGATTAGACAGTAGGTGGACAGGGAATGAGGCAGGAACTGAGTTGATAAGAGTTATACGACCCAGATTAGAAAGTAATTTAACATACCATCCTTGGATTCTAGCTTGGAACTTTTGTAATAACTCCTCAGAGTAGATGAGCTTGACCCTACCTTTGTTAATAGGACAACACAAATAAGTGATAGGACATGGTTTGAGAGGAATATCTGCAAGCTGAGATAACATATTCTTTCTTGAGAGAGGGATTTTAGATGAATAGTACAAAGAACTCTTCTACCTATTTACTTTCTGCCCAGAAGATGCTTCATATCTTTCCACGATTTTTTGCAAATTAGTAAATGATCTCTTATCTCCCCTCAGAAAAATAAGTGTATCATCATCAAATAATAGGTGACTGAGCAACTTTGCTTCCTCTGCCAGTGTGAAATCTTTGTATTGTACCTTCAAGAAATTTCTGCTTTTGTCCCCTGCTTAAAACTTCCCCTGCAATGATAAATAGAGTAACTAAAAGAGGATCACCTTGCCTTAACCCCCTTGGTGAGGGAAAAAAGCCATGTCGAACTCCATTAATTGATAAGGAAATGTGCTGGTTGTTTAGACAATTTGAAATAATGAGGATAAATGTATCAGAGAAGCCAAAGCACTTTAAAGTATGCTTTTATGAAATCCCACTCAAGTCTGTCAAATGTCTTCATCATATCAAGCTTGACTATAGTATTCCCCGCTTCCACCTTTCTATCCAATTCATTAACCATCATCTGAGCTATTGCAATATTGTCGCTAATATTCCTTCCCTGAAAGAAGCCTTGTTGTTCATCTGAGACAAGCTTGGGGAGAAGAGTCCTCAATCTTGAAGACAGAAGCTTAGTAAGGATTTTGTATATGAAGTTACAAAGACTTATTGGCCTAAAATCCAAAAAATTGAAAGGATTATCCTTCTTTGGAATAAGATAAAAGAATAACAAAGTTAACCGATCTAGGAATCACTCCTCCTTGCAGAAAGAAGTTAGCTGCAACTACTAAATCCTGCTTAATGATATCCCAAGCTATTTGAAAAAGTTTATTAGAGAATCCATTTGGACCTGGAGCGTTGTGTACTAACATATCAAATACCACATCTTTAAGTTCTTCTAAAGAGACTAGAGCAATAAGTATGGCATTATCATCATCTGTGACTAAGGCAAGAATAACAAAGAATAAATCCTCTAATTTACGAACTTCAAATGTATATAGTGCAGAAAAAAAATCTTTAGCAATGTTTGCAATCTCATTCTCCTCCTCCACCCAATCACCTTGCGCATTCTTGATTCTAGCTATTCTATTTCTACAAGTTCTCCCTTTAGCAATTGCATGATACAGTCTTATGTTTCTCTCCCCTCCACAGTCCATTGTTTACTAGCTTTTTTGTCTCCAAAAGATTTCTTCTATTTTGAGTGCCTTATCAAGCTCATCTTTTGCAGCCTCCATGAGCAAAACATTAGATTCAGAATCACTATTCTCCACCTCAATCTCTGCTTGCAGCAAACGATGCTCACATTTCTTGATATTCTCAAAAACGTGCCCAAAAAGATTTTTTTTATTCCAAGCCTTCAATTTAAACTTAAAAAACTTTAGCTTCAAAAATAAATTTTCAAGTGGGTTCTGAGAGTAATTACCCACCTAAGCAGATTGCACCAGAGGAAGGAAGCCTGCATGTTTTGTCCACATATCCATAAATTTAACATAAGATAACCTTGTAGTACCAGTTGTCGTAGAACATTTAATAACCAAGGGACAATTGTCAGAAGAGCCTCTAGCAGCATGTTCCACAGTAGTAGTATGAAATTTTTCACTCCACTCTAGATTAACTAACGCTCTTTCCAAACATTGCCACATTCTAATCAATCCATGATGACCATTACACCATGTAAAAGTGGTACCCGTATGATCACAATCTTGTAAACCCGGTGAATCAATGAAACAAATAAACTTATTCATAATGGAGAGGCTTGGGGTGGCACCCTCTTTTCTTTCTGTTGAAGATATGATCGTGTAAAAATCCTCGACTATCATCCAAGGCTCATTTAAAGGAGACAAATCAGCTAGGTGAGCCCATAAGGGCCTTCTGAGAATGTGATCACACTTCGTATAAACAAATGAAACTAAAATTGGGGAAGAACCCATAAAAGAAATCTTAACTGTTAAAGCTTGCTCATGCACATCCAAAGTTTGTACCCGCACCCTGTGATCCCATAAAATCCATATATGCTTTTCAGCCAATGGGTTAGCTAAAAAGGAAGTAAAAGCCAAGCTAAGACAAAGATCTTTAAGTTTGACAGCCAATAATTTTGGTTCCAAAATTGCAACTAAATTGACATCATTGGCTCTAATCAGCTTCTTAAGCCTCATTTTGGAAGCTTCTTTGTTAGCTCCCCTCACATTCCATGAAATGATATTAATCATTTAAAGGGAGGGGTAGAGAGCGTTGGCTAGACCTTGATCTAGTAATCATACCTGAATATGTGGCTACATATCTCTGAATATCATCATGATGCTCTCCTACGCCTTGATCAGAATGTGGTTGAACATAAGCTTGAGACTGTTCCTGTATGCTTTGGTTAGAATCTGAATCATGTGTATCCAGATGAACATGATAGTTAGTGTCATTATCTGAGTAAAATCCTTTATCCAAGGGCTCCTTGTTGCACATTAAACCTACCCCATCATCTAAGGAGACCCCACCACCCTCTCGACGAGTATATTGATGATCCACCAGGAAATTCGAAGATAAATACTACTCATTTAGTTGACAAAGCCCCTCTTTAGGAACCATGAACTCTGTCGATTCAAGAAGCTCCTTGGGATTCTCGACAAGAGTTTCCCCATCGTCTGCAACTGGCCTCTCCACATATGGAAACTCCTTTGCTTGGGAAGAGTCGATCAATACAGGATTCTGCAAGTTGGTAATTTCCATATCTTTACCTGAATGTTCTCCAATTTCTAAAACTATTGGGGTAGATTCTGAAATATCCTCCACAATATTTACCATATCTTTTTTGAAAGCTTTGTCAGACCTTCATTCTACGTTATTTCCTATTCTGCTTGCTTCCTTTTGTTGGCTGCTTACTTCTTGTTTCTGCATTCCTTTGCCTAATTGAAATGTATCTGGTTGTTTCCTGGTTTGGTTACCAAATTCTGGGATTTGATTGCTTTCCTTTCCTGTGCTCTGAATATTCTTTCCTTTCCTCAGATTAGCAATTTCCTTCTGGGCACCTGTAGTATCATTCACGGGATCCAGTGGCGAGATCTTACCATCTTCGACCTTTGATTGGGTCAATGGCTTCTTCTTCCTACACTCAACTTCATCATAACCTTGTTTCCTACAACCTCTACCAAACTTCTTATTTCGTTCATGTACAATTCGCTGCCAATGAGCATCTTCATCTCCCATGTCCAGCTCCTAGAAGGATTAATTGACAGCAAATTTGCTTAACACACACTCGAGCAAACCTAGGTCTCGTTAAAGAGAGTGTAGCTTGGTCATATGCTACGACCCTTGCAATAGGCTTCATTAACAACTCCAAGAAAGGCTTTTTGAATAAATTCAATGGCAATCCGGGTAAAGAGATCCACATAGGCACAATGGAAGGCTTTATTCCAGGTACAAACTCAGGAAACCATTTAAAAAATCTGAACAAATAGTCTTCAATCATGGTGGCATCTTTTAACCAAATCTTCACGTAGTCTTCATGCTTCTCAAACCTTATCAATATATGTCTGGAATCTATTGAACCTATTTCAAAATCTCCTTTCAAATCCCATTTAGAATGTATTACTTCTCTTATCACTCCCAAACTTGGACGACCATAAGCACGTTTGCCTATTAACGCATATTGAAGGGATAGACAAGACTGTTGTACTTCTTCTTTGGTGAAGTAAAAGCCGGCTCCCCCTCATAGAACACAATTGTTTTTTCATGCTTGATCACTGGTTCTTCTTTTGAAACAGATTTAGATGGCTATTTAAAGAGTGAAACATAGGATGGAGTATGTTGGGAAGGATTAACAGGCTGTAAATCTAGTGGTTTAGGAGGTATTAGGAATGAAGTTGGTGAAGAAGTCATGAAAGGGGAAAAAATGCTAGAGAGAAGTTAGAGCTTCTCTCTCTAGAATTAGAAAAAATAAAACTCCCATCCCTTCTTCCCATTTGCCTTCAAGCACTCAATGGGAGGTTAAATGCATGCTCTTACCTACGCTTTACCTACAAACACACAACACTCCATTAAATGTGAGATTAAACATATTTGCCCCAATTTTCACCACAAAAACAAGCAATGAAGATGCAAAAGAGATATAAGATATGCAATATTCTATACTCATCACCTAGTTTCCCAAACATTTTGATTGATAAGTTTGGTACTAAACCTGTCACACTATTATTTTTATGTAAAGCGTGATTCACAAGTAATTCACTGTTTAAGAGAAAACTTCGTGATTTCCCTTGAAATTTTCAAGAACAAGCTTTCGACTACAAATTTTTTTATAGTCACTGTTTACAACTTAAGAGTTTCAAACTATACTATGCAAAGAAATACAAACTATGTATTATTTAAATACTATCTTTCTCTTATTCTTGATATAGATGCCCATTACTAAGTTGCTAAAACAAGGAACTAGGCTTCTAGTTGATACTTGATTAACAATCAAAAGTGTTATTTTATTATATTTAATAATTAGTTATTGCATATTAATTTTTACTAAATTTGTTAGATTCCTTGATTTCTAGTTTGATACTTTGTCAAGTTGTTTGATTTATTTTGCAGGTAATTTGGTTGATTTGAAATAATAATGGGCAATGCAACTGAAACAAACTACTAGAATAAGGGTCACAGTTGAGAAGTTGATATTTGATAAGGATTGAAAGGTCAAGATTAAAATATGAAAATTTGAAAATAAGGAAGCAATTTAAACCTTATTGGAGTTCAAATGAGTAAAAATTCATTTAGAATTAAATTATGAATGTATTCTAGAAGATAAGGTTTTGATACGTATTCAGTATTATGGTCATAACTTTTTACCCCGATGTCCTATTGACATGATTTTTAGGACATTGGAAAGAAGAATTTAAGAGCTACAAATGTGTATTTCATACTATTCAAAAATCAAGCTTGAAGTTTGGGCAGATACGATTCTCGCGCCTCCAAGATTTGATGCACGAGTTTTCACCTAAAAAGACTTCTATTTGGTAAGTACTTGTTCAAAGGCCAACCCTAGTCTCCTTAGGATAAATATAGGTTCTTTCTTTTGAAATGGGAGAATTCTAGATCCCATATTCTACATCTTTATTTTTTTCCATGTCTATGGATTGCTAATTCCCCAAACTAAAGCTACAAGTGAACCTTTCAACGAAGCATGGCATTTATTTTTGATCCATCATTTTTTCATGCATGATTTTTCTTATTGATTGATTCCTATGTTTGAGTGAAGTTTTTGCTTTGTAAAATTTCTTGATTTGTTGTGCCATGTAAATTAAATGCTTTAGATTCCTTGCGAGTTAAATAACTAGTTTTGTATGGTTGGATCAATTAATTTGGATTTTTATGAAAAATAATTGATTTATTGTTTGTGATAAAAAGAGATTTTCTTTGCTGCATATCTTGATTCGTCGTCGACTCCAGCCACCGTGTATGCTTGCGATCTAGAATTAAATACTAAATTTTATTCACAATAATTTATATATTATACTTTTGGATTTATTTTCAATGTTATCACAACGAAATCTTCTGATTAAGATTACTTCCCAGCTGCTTCTTAATGGATTAAAAAAACTAGATCAAAAATAAATATTATGTGAAATTGGAATATAATCCCTGATGCTTTAGTATCTCCAATTACTGTTTTACTTTTTGTTTACTTTGTGTTCTAAGTTTTTACCAACTCCATGTGGTTTGACCTTGGACTCCTGAATGTTTATTCCTGAATGTCTTGGAGGGACTTCTTCTATTCCTCAAGCCCACAAATATGAGCCTTGGACTTGACTATGTCCACATGAAGTGCTTTCTTATCATCTTCACTTGATTTGAGCCTCATGTTCAATGAAAGCAATTTCTTCTTTTGTTTGAGATACTCCACATATAATTGATTGTATGCATCTTGGAGGTCCTCAACTCTCTCAATCTCATCCTCATTGGTAGAGTCAACATCTTGGCCAAATTTGTGGCCATGTAATCATCAACAAAACGTGCCAATTGAGTGAACTTGACCACGTATTGCATGACCGTCTTCATGCCTTGTTTTAGATCCAAAAACTTTCGGGCCTTGACTAGCCGAATAGTCGATGGAAAGTACTTGTCCATGAAGAGCTCAAGGAACTCCTCCCAAGTCATCAAGTCAATATCCCTTGAGGTTCTTGCCCAAGTCCACCATAGATGGCCCTTTCCCTCAAGCTAGAACGTTGTCAGCCTTTTCTTAGTGGCATCATATGTGATCTCTATAGCCTTCAAAGACCTTATTCACCTGTTAAAACCAATGGTCGGCTACCATCAGATCTGCTTCTCCCTCAAAAGTTGGTGGTTTGTGTGCCTTAAACTTTTGCAAGTGACTTGAGCCTCCTTGGCTCACATTGGTGCTCGTCTAGACTAGGTTCGCAACCATAGTACCCTTCACGGCCATGAAAGCTTGTTGATCAAAAGCTGGTGGTGGTGGTTGGTTGTTTTGTCCACCCCGACGACCTCTTCATCTGGTTTCCATCTATACAAATGTAAGAAAGCAATAGACAACTAACTTAGCATCCTTGAGTTGGGGATCAAAAACCATGACCATAGAAAAATTTTAGAAAATTTTCTTTTTTTCTACCTGTAAGTTTATGTCCACCTACCGGTAAGTTCAAAACAAAACAATGTTCTACTAGTAGGTCAATTCCCAACCTACTAGTTGGTTCCAATACAGAAAATGGAGCTATCAATTTCTTCTGCCTTCCTACTGATAAGTAAGGTCACATAAGTTCTTCGTACTGGTAGATCCCCGCCATCCTATCGGTAGGTCAAGTCCTAGAAGATATTCCTACCGCTAGATACCCGCACATTGATGCTACGAAGTCACATGTGGGTACAAAATGGATAGGCGGCAGACATTAAAGGACACTATGGTTGTAGACCAGATTATGGCTAGAGGGTTGACATCTTGGTTTGGTGAAGCCAAGGGCTATTGTTTAAATTTGTAATAGAAATTGAGTGTGGTTGATAGTGATCTTTGGATTCTTAGGACCAAAATGTGGGGGAAGATCATTGAGGTGACTCCTACTGTGGTGGCTGAGATGATAAACTATGTTCAACTTGAGCTTGAAAAGATTGACTACCCTCACCCTAATTTCCAAGCCAAGACACTGATTCAGTATGCCGAGTTGATGTATAAAAGGCCCAGTACCTTTTTTGGGAACTTTAGGGTTGGAGGATTAATAAATAAATATAGGTTGGCGAATAAAATCCTTGATTACAATGTTTATCCTAAGGGGTCGGAGAAGGAGCCGGGTGTAGAGAAGTTGGCGTTGTTATAAGAGTTTATGGTGGCTCTCGGATTGATATAGCTTCATTGATTTGATCTATTATGAAGGAGTTTCCGCTATGGTAAAGCCCAAGGTGAATATGCCTTTCGCTCAGATGGTGACGATGTTGTGCGTCAAGGCCCTGGTAAGAAGACGATGACTAATGTACTTTGGCCAGCCGAGACTGGTCCTATTGATAGTTGGTGTTTAAGTAAGAGTACGCCTATATCTCAGGCATATAGAATGAGAGGAACTACTCAAGCTATCCAGGCTCTACAGGCTGCTACTATTGATATACCATCTCCCCCACCTCCTACTCAAATTGTGTTGACACTTATAGAATGATTAGATTGGAGGGGAGAGTAGGTGGTGTAGAGAGAGATGTTTCAAGGGTTGAGGGGAAGGTTGATCTGATGATGCTAATTTTGAAGAGGTTGTTTGCACATGCTTTCCCTGTTGAGCCCTTGCTTGAGGTTGCTTCACCTATTATTCTACATTCTGTGTCAC